CTGCAAGGCTCACCGACCTGACGGGCCCGGAACGTGAGATCAGAGATGAGGTGGGATAACGGGTATGGTGAGAGGATGTCGGGCGGGGCATCTAAGGTGTGGCAGTGTCTGTTGATTCGAGCAGGCGGGGGCAGCGCAGACCAAGTGCGGGACTCATTCAGATGAACATTGAAGATGCTCAGGTCAGGCTCGGTTTCAGCCATTTTCTTGAAAGAAAAGCGATCGCGGAGCCCCGTGTACAGCTGTGGTTCGGGTATCCACCAAGTCAAAACATGATTGGCAGACGAATACGGGGACACTGGGAGTCGGCCCACCAGCAATGCCGGGACACGAGCAGGGGGGGGGGCGGAAGAACCTACGTATAGATCCAAGGCCTGATCACAATCAAAGGCCGGCTGCAAACACTTGTCCGGCAGGCTACACGTGGTTGGGAACCAGATGACGGCAATATTGACCACCATTACGCCCACGTAGGCCAAGGCGATGAGGCCCAGCACGGTCGTGCAACACCCAGGCCGGCCCATCGTGTCGTCGTCGTCGTCGTCGCCCCCAGAACGGCTCGGCGCAAGAAACTGCCGACGAAAGCAGTGAAAAAACAGGTATAAGCGGAAGCGTGTAATCCATCACACTTCTAAAATTTACGAGTCTCATGAGATACTAGCGGAGACTAGAAGACTGAGCAAGCTTCTCGTGGGCGGAAATTTGTATCGGGTTGATGCGGAAAATCATCGTCAAAACTATTACTTTTCTCTGGCTCGTGTTGAAGGCGGACGGCGACTTCAACAGCATAACCACCAGCCATGTCGGTAACCTTGCTTCCCCCTTTGTTGTGTTTCTGGCCCGCGGCGCGGGTTCAAATGGCAGCGCCATTGCTGCCTGTTTGTGAATGATGGATGGATGAACAGGGCCGTCTGTGTGTGCGTGTGTGTGCGTGTGAGTGTGCGTGTGTGTGTTGAAAGCTTGTTCAAGTGGGCGACGATGTGTGCATCTGTTTGAAGCAATCGCGGGGGGCTACGCGTGGGTCAACGCTGCTCGCCGGGGCATTGGGTCTTGTGATGGCTTGCCTCGTGGACATGGGCGGCGGCCTGCATTGGCGCTCGGATCGATCATTCCAAAAGAGGGGATGAAGTCAGAGCGTGGTGTGGGTCATGTCTTGAGGCTAGCGCGTGTGACGCCTGCCCGGGCTGTGGTCCGGAATCGCGCCTCGTCGTGTGTCGAAGAGGGCCTGCGAGACCGAGACCTTTGGTGGCCCCCCTTGTGCGCCTGCACACCATCCATCATCTGTTTTCATCGCAACCGGTCTACCTCTGCTGCGTGCAACGTTGTCTCCTTCATTTATCTGCTGGGCTTGGAAACGCTTTCCGGCGCGCATCATGAGTCTGCCCTCTTTCAGCTTTGATGCTCATGGTTTGCCATGGTTTGCTTCTTGCTCGTAGGTCGATGGTAATGCCCGAAAACTTTCAGCACATCTTGCGTGTGATGAACACCAACATTGCTGGTGACCGCAACATCATGTACGCCATGACCGCCATCAAGGGTGTTGGTCGTCGCTACTCCAACCTCTGCCTCAAGAAGGCCGAAATCAGCACCCGCCGCCGTGCCGGTGAACTGGTGCGTAGCATTTGTCGAGATGTCAATGAACAATGCAGCCGGGCATGCCGCTGTGGGCTCGGGCAAACAGTGTCTTGGCGAGGGTGCAGTGAAGCATGCAGGCCAGGGTCTGAGGATGTTTCTGTCGTTTTTTTTCTCGCCGACTCACGTCTGGTGCCTTTTTTTTTGTGATTGGCGTCGAGCAGACCGAGGACGATGTGCGCCGCGTGGTGACCATCATGCAGAACCCCCGCCAGTACAAGATCCCTGACTGGTTCCTTAACCGCAAGAAAGACATCAAGGACGGCACCTACTCCCAGCTTCTGGCCAGCGACCTCAACGTCAAGCTCCGTGACGATCTTGAGCGCATGAAGAAGATCCGCCTCCACCGTGGTATCCGCCACTACTGGGGTGTCCGCGTCCGCGGCCAGCACACCAAGACCACTGGCCGTCGCGGCCGCACCGTCGGTGTCTCCAAGAAGAAAGGAGGTTAAGACCTGCTTCCCCAACAAAGCCAGACTGGCCCTGTGTGTGGATGTCCCGTCGATTGCCGGCCTGGACGCGAGCCGTTACATCGGCGCGATGGGCTCTATGCACAGACCACCTGCCGCGTTGGCGTTGTTGTTTCTCTTCTTGGTTGTTCTTGTTCGGGCTTGGTGCTTGGTGAATTGGTAAACCTAGTTACCAGCTCTCGGAATCAGCCCCGTTTGAGCGCAACGATTTCTCCAAAACCCAATTCAACGCGTTGCTCACATCCAGTCTATCCGACCCGAAACCATCACAACCCAACTGCCTGTCAAAGCCCTGGTCAAAGCCCTGGGCGTCGATTTACTTTTGACTCTTGTTAGCCGACTTGCTTCATTCGATGGCCCTAGCAAGATACCGTCACAGAGGGGCCTAGCCCCTTGCAGATTTTTTATTTTTTTTTTAAAGAGAGAAGCATTCACCATATTCACATTGACGTTTCCATTGCCACTGATCTAAGGGCAGGGGGTGGCAGACGAACGTGTGTGTGCGCGTGTGTGCGTGTGTGCGTGTGTGCGTGTGTGTGCGTGTGAGGTCGTGACATGCCTCTTCTGGTAGCCGGAAGCTGGATGGGACGAGCCGTTTGGCTGGAGTGAGACAGGTGAGCGGGTCAGGAACCATCGGGGTTGGGTGATTATGGCCACTTCGACTTGGGTCAGCCCGGTGCTCAGCCGCAAGTATGAGATCAGTCGCGCTCAAGGTCAACTCGGAGAAGGTGCTTTCGCCACCGTTTACCCAGCAGTGCACCGCCTGACTCGGTGTCCTGTGGCCATCAAGGTTCTTAACAAGGCCAGGTTGCGCGCCGATGATGAGATCCGCAGCGCTGCCCTCGAGGCCTACTGCCTGCGCGTCGGCACTCACGTTCCCTTTGCCATTCGTCTGATCGAGTGGCTCGAGGATGATTTTCACGTCTTCTTTGTGCTTCAGCTTGCACCCGGTGGCGACCTCGCCACCCGCCTTGACGAAGTCCACCGCCTGCGCGAAAAAGACGCCCGCCGTCTCTTTGCCCAGTTGGCCCTGGCCGTGCAGGGATTCCACCGCGCTGGCTTGGCGCTCCGTGATCTCAAGGCTGACAACGTTCTTCTGCACGGCGATAACTGCTGTCTCATTGATTTTGGCCTGGCTGCGCCCAGTGCCGATGACAGCGCGCCTGTCAGTGCTACCGGTTGTGGTACGCGCAGCTACAGTGCTCCAGAAGTCAGCTACAATTCCACTTACAACCCTCGCAAGGCTGATGTCTATAGTCTCGGGGTCATACTCTTCCTCATGGTCGCGGGCGATTTTCCCTTTGACTTGGCGGGCGAAGACGAGGATCAGGCCTCGCTCACTTCCCTTCAACGCGATGAGTTGGAGCAGCGGGATGCTAAGATGCGGCGGGCTCGGCGTCGCCTACATGTGCAATTTCCGCCGTGGATCTCCGTCGACCTGGAGCGCCTCTTACGGCAAATGCTCGAGGTCCGTCGCTTTGGAGGCGCAGTGGAAGGCGGCTGTTCACAGGAGAGAACACAAGATGTCCAGGGACGGCTGGGGTGGGATCAGATAGGGAGAGGGGGGAAAGCGTGGCGCACATCGACGCGTTACGGGATTAGGGTCAGACATACCAGTGCCTGTTGACTTTGGTCACTGATGCCCATCCCTTGTGATGACAGTTTCAACCCGAGGCTCGACCAACGATCGACGTTGTCTGTGAACACGTCTGGTGTCGCAAAGAGATTGATCTGCAAGAGGCTGCCTGGGACAAGCAGGTTGGTTGGATGCCGGCATGCCGGTTATGGCCTCTTTCAACACGGCGGACCTCACTCCTCCTCGACGATCTGGTCCGTGCACGCACCCGCATGCTTAGCTCTGCGCTGCCCGCGCCCAGGCGACGCGACGACTTGGCGAGTTGTGCGGTGTCGACGAGGCAGGAATATCGGCCTATCTATCTCAGGTGCCCAGCAGCGCGTTTTCAGGCCTTTGGCTGACAGTTGCTGGTCAAACTGATGCCTGCGTTTGGGTCTGGCACTCTTACCTGTGTCGCAGCGTAAGCATGATGACTTGTTTGCGGCCTACAACTGCCTCAAGGCACATGCGCTGTATCACTCTGGCGTGCCCAAGTTGGTTTTTCTGCCTCAAACGCCACACCTTGCTTTGCGATCGGCACAGCTTGCGGAAATGTGTTCCCCGATCAACAGCCTAAGCCTTGCCCAGCTCTCACTCGCATTGCTTCATCATAGGAGTGAGCGAGGCTCCAACCCTCACTTGCCACTCCCGCCTCTGGCAGCGTATGCTGATCTGTCGAATGGGGTCACGGAGGCCAAGCCTCCATGCGATGAGCCATGGCTTTCGGCAGCTGCTCTAGAGGCTATTCGAGTCTGCACCTGCTAGGGCATTCGGAGAATTGCCCAGTTGAGGGTGAGTGCTTGACCTTGACCCACAGGAAGCGGTAAAAAGCCTGGCCTCCTCTTTGTGGGCAAGTCTTGAGCCAAGCTGAGCTTGGCTCCTTTCCATCTTGGTGCAGCACCAAGGTGGCTCTTTGGTTTCATGGACTGCGCGTGTAATCAGCGTCCGGTCCACCTTGATTTTGCACCCGTTTGAGTGAATTGTTTCCCTCGGGACACAAGAGTTAAAAATCATTATTGTTTTGACGTGCAATCGAATTTGAAACGTGGGTGGCAACATAGGCCAGCAAGGGGGGTCATCGAAATGCAGGATCAGCACAAGACGGGCAGCCAACCATGCCACCAGCTGCACATGATTCAAAAGAAAACGAACAAACAAACTCAGCACATCACTGTGTGTCAAAACGCTTGGAGGGGGAGATGCTGACCCAGTTTCCGTCCCACCCCTTTCCAAGAGATGAACAAATCGTTTAACAATAAAAAGGAGGCGACGCGAGCAGAGAGCCACGCCGGTGCATCAAGAAGAAGACAATAAAGGAGGAAAACACAATGACCTCGCCTCGGCCAGGATGTCAGTACAGCGGGTCCTAGACGAGAAGAAGCGGCAGGGCCAGCCCGCCCCACGAGTAGCCTGCAGTCTGGCCACGGTCGCAACCAGCGGCATCAGTGGATTGTTCCAAAGTTTTTTTTTTAAAAAAAAAGATGGCAGGTCATGGCAACAGGATGTCCGCCTTAGGCCGCCGCCTTCTGGCTGGCTGGTGTATGATCGTCCAGTCGTTCCAACAAGGTCTTGGAATAGCCTAAGGAAACACATGCATGGACGGTGTCAGTCAGGGGCATTGAAAAATCAGCGGGTACGTTGCGTGTACGTGCAAAGAGTTTCATGATGCTTGGGGGCATGCGTGGTGCGCCAAGGGTGAACAAACCTGGTGAGTAGTATCGAACAATTTCCTCGGGAAAGCACTCGTTGATGGTCATGATTGCGTCACCCAGTTCTGTCTCTGGATCTGCCTTGATCTCTTGGATCTGGGGGGGGGAGGAGGGTATCAACGCAACAAAAAGGTGTGAGGCAATGTCAAGCGACGGCCAGCACGCTATCAGACCAAGGGCGCGCCATAAGCAAGGAACGGACCTTCTTGAGGCCCCCAGAGGTAACAAATTGTTTCCGAGCCTTGGCATCGGAGGGCAGGATCTTGGCAAACTGGCCCACCACATTCTCCAGAATCTCCGGTGGAGCCTTGGAGAGCAAGGATTGCAAGGCGGGAAGATAGGTACATTTTTGCAGGATGTTGCGCAGAGCACGAGACGCCTTGCTCTGCACTTCAGGGCTGGCGTTCTCAGCCAGGCTGATGTCGAGGAGGATCGGCAGGACGGAGGCCTCGGCGACGTGTTGTGCATGTTGAGGGGTATGTCGACCGATTTGGCCAAGAGACCAAGCAGTGGCGGCACGAATGTGGTCTTCACCCTCATTTTGCAGCGCGGTGGCGAGGGCGTCAACGCCGTGCGACACAATGACCGACATGGCCAGGCGCTCGGAAAAGGCGGCAATGTAGCCGAGAGCCATGACGGCAGGCATCAGCGAGCTGCCTCGAGCCTCATTGATGTAATCCACCAGAGCCATGACACCTGCAGCAGTATCCAGAAAGAAGGTGGGAAGGTTTAATCAAATGAGCAGGGTGGGAAAGGAAAGCAGGGGGTTGAGAAGCAAAATAAGGAGAAGACATTGGGGTAAGATGGCCCATGTGTGCCAAACCAGTCAGCACGCACCACCAGAGTTGACGATGAGCTGAGCGAGTTCGGCGGAGTGTTTGGCCACGTCGCGGACAAGGGTAGCGACGTTCTTGCGCACGTACTCATCCGGATCCTTGAGTGAGGGCAAGACTGCTGGGAAGATGTAGGCTTCCACCACGAGCTCGGCAAGGTCGACGGTGTGTTTGGCCACTTGGCTCAACGCGGCCAGGACCTGTCGCTTCAGTTTGGTGTCCTGTGCTTCGAGAAGCTGTGCAAGATAAGCAATGGCACCATTGTCAACAATGGTTTGGGCAAGCTCTGGGGTGTGCTTGCTAATGTCAGCCAGGGCCGAGGCAGCGATGCGCTTGAGCGCCACTTCGGGTTCCTGCACGCATAAAATAAGCAGGGGGACGGCACCCGCGTCGACGACGGCCTGGGCCAGTTGCGTGTTGTGGCGGGCAATGTAGCCGAGGGCCCAGGCGGCGGCCTCTTTGACGGCAGGATCAAATTCGTCGAGGCAGATCACGAGAGCATCCACGGCCCCCGAGTCGACGACGGCCTGCGCCAGCTCGGGGCTGTGCTTGGCAACGGTACGCAAGACGAAGGCCGCTGCCTTTTTGTAAAACCTGACCAGAGAGTGAGAGAGACAGAAAGAGGGGAGAGAGAGAAAGAGAGAGGAAGGTTGGAAGAAGGGGCAGTTTGATTCATGCAAGCCGAGCGGTGAGGGATGGCAAATTCTTTTCGTAAAAGACGTTGAAGGGTGGAGCGGGGGGAGGAGTGACCGTACCTGTTTTGCTCGGCCAAACCGTAAACGAGCTGCGGGAGAATGTCATCGGTAACGACGGCTGCAGCCAGCTCATCGCTGTGATTCGCCAGGCGACCAAGGGCAAGAGCCGCGCTCTGGCCATTGGAAGAAAAACCGAGAGGGCAAGGGCGGCAAAGAACACCTTGGTGAGAACAAGGAGCACGGGGAAGCGGTTTTTCAAGGGGCTGACATGGAGCACGCACCTGCTGAATGGTGGGGACAGAGTCGATCAACAGAGGTCGCAAGAGCGACATGACACCTGTGCCGAATAAACCCAGGGTCAAGAAGGATGGGCGAGGGACGTCAACGCTGACAGAGGCGGGCGAGCAGGCGATCATCAAAGAGTCCACACCTGCGTCCTGCAAGGCATCAATGTTTTGTGATCGCGAAGAGAGTTCGGCCACGGTCTGCACAAAGTTGGTGCGAGCCTTTTGGTATGTCTCAAAGACTGAAGCAACACGGCCATGAGGCGCCGAGACAAGGCTCACCAAGCTGGCCAGCAAGGAAGGGGCGTGCGCGATGCGGGGCATACCTTGAAGGACCTGCTTGGCCATGGTGGCGATGGTGAATCAAAATCAACAGCTGTTGTTGATGGGAATGAGAACAGGCGATCCGTGGTCGTGTGAATGGACAAGGGCAGAGAGCGAGCCGAGGGCTCGCGGGCACGCGTGCGATGACAAGTCTGCGATGATCGAAGCGGTTGGGCGTGCGAAAGCATGGCGTGAGCCGGCCTGTATGGTCGTCCAGGCGCTTATCCTGTCTTCATCCAGCTCAATCCACCTTCCCAGTTCCTTGTAGCTAACCTCCCTCTCGGACCTCTTGGCGGGCAAAGGCGCGAGGGCGCTGCCGTTTCAGCGTCACACGCACCAATAGCAAAAGCAGAGAGAAAACGCCCGGCACACTCGTCGTCAAGGAATTGAGAATGCAACACGATGAGATGACGTGAACATGTACTCCTCAACTTGACTCCCAACAAACAACGCGAGAGTGTGACACAGATTACAGTTTGAAATAAAATAAACAAACCCCTACTATCTAATATACCGGGCAGGTGGAGGCGAGTTTTAGTTGTGTATGCTACACATATTGATGCCACCTAACGCTTTTGCTTACGATTGTATGCCAGGCTTCTGCAGCTACTTTTGGAGTTGTTGCAGTTTCCCTTTCTGATGAACATTCGTATGGGAAATTGGTTTTGATTGCGACATGGCTCATGGAACGGCAGCGGGAGTTGGTGGCCACGAGATCGACAGCAGCGAGTGAAGGAGCGCTGCGTGCGTGGTAGCGTGCATCCTGAGAGGATGTACATGTGTGTAGGGGTTGGATGGGTGGGTTGGGAACGGATGTCGATGCGGCTCGTCCATCAAGCTCGACCAGAGGAGGATCGTATGGTTCTGCAATGCTCCATGGGTAGCTAGCTGCCCATGGGGACGATTGATTGCTTGAAGCGTCTCATGAACTCACCGGTGCATACGACGAGATGGCTGGCTGCTCGCAATATTGTTCAGGCTTATGAAGGCTTGCGCTGTCTTCTGACGCAAGGCAGGTCATGGCAAGCCAATGTTGCAAGACAGCCGACCCCTTTTTTTTTTTTTTCGGGTCCTTGGAGTTTTGACGTGCGGGAGGAGTGCCAGAGGACGGCTTGTTGAGGATCGGGGCGCCACCCTGCTTGCGTGCCATCCCTCATTCGTGAGTTGAAGCCGGGTGAAGCAAACGATGAGCATATTAGTAATGATGATGAACAGTTGACATGAGAAGATGGCAAGCGGGCAGTCAAGGATCAAGGAGGGTAACAGAAGTAGTAGTAGCAGGTTGTAGCAGTAGTAGCAGCAGGTAGCAGCAGCAGGTAGTAGCAGTAGCAGCAGGTAGTAGCAGCAGGTAGTAGCAGCAGGTAGTAGCAGCAGTAGCAGGTAGTAGTAGTAATAGTAGCAGCCGAAGGACTCAAAGCGCGTGTGGTGTGTGTGTGTGGGTGTGCGCCGAGCAAGATGTTGTTGAAGATAAAACAAAGGAAATAGAGGCTCTATTTGATGTATACGAAGAAGAAAGAGAGGTTAATGAAGATTTGTTAACATATTATATGCAAGTTTTCGCCGAGATCTAACATGTTTATGACGATTATAGTTTAGTTATTGTAGTTAATTCAAAACAAGCTACATCATCAGGTCAGCGCGGCGCCGGGCCACGGGCCAGGAGCCAGGAGCGGGTAAGGGAAAGGGTGGCACTCATGCTGCTGCTGCAGGGCCGTTCAGTGGCGGGGAAGTACGTCGTCAGTGACTGGGTGGGCTCATCTCATCGGCGTTGCTTGCGGTTCCTTCGACCACTAGGGTAGCTTGACGCGCCGCGTTTTTTTGTTTTAGTTTTTTTTTGTATTCCGTTGCGCTGTGCCTGTGCCTGTGGCGGACGGTTGACAGGCGACCATGGCTGCGCCGCCGCCGCGTCCGCCACGCGATACCAAGCCCGGCCGAACGGGCAGCGGCCATGGCTCCAGTATCTCGAGTGTGAACGGTATGTTGACCAGACCTCTTTCCTGCTGGCTCCTACTCCCCATGGTTTATCCCCTCTGCTGCTCATGCGTCGCACGCGTCATCTGATCCCATGATGCATCGTAATGCGGCTATTGCAAGGCTCTACGCACCTGGGCACGGGCCTGCAGCGGTTGCTGAGTGGAGGAAGCTCAGCTGGTTCTTCCTCACCCCTGCCAGCTCGCTCCAGCGCCAAGCCCGCCTTTCCGAGTAACCACGGCTCGCCCTCCGCCTCGGGATTCGGCTCGCCAGTAGGCTCGCCCGTCATTCACATGCCTGTGCAAGCCACTTACGAAACCGTGACCCCGCCGACCCTACCTCCACGCGAGGACAGTGGCGGCTATGACACCTTGCGTGCGCGACCCTCTGTCCGCGGCGTGGTCACCTCGGCCACACCTGCCCCAGCCCGCCAGCCTCAAACTGGGCCTCCCGTGCACGACCAAGGAAAGGATGCAACACCCATGGAGTCAGTCTACGCATCGATGGATCTGCCCACAAGGACGGTTGGCGAGGCCGACACGGCCTACATGCCCATGGATGGCCGTGGGCACTATGATCATCCAGGGCGACGGTATCCAACCCTGGGTCGTGAACACATTTATGTTTTCTCGTCCTCGGCGCCACCGAGCTGGGTGGCCGCTGCCGAGGCCGCAGGCGACGTCTACTCCACCCTCGATGGCCGCCCTAACACCCACAATACACTGGCACAATCATTCGGCGCTCAGCTGCAGATAGACGATAGCTATGCCACCGACGCCGGGAAGCTCCCTGCCTTGACTTCCGTGACCTCGTCGAGCTTCGCCGACATGCTGGTACGACCACAGCCCCTGGTACACATGGTGCCGATGACAATCAACACAATCTCATGTCGCTGTTGCCGTGGCTTGTGCTCGTCCTTGTTTTTCATGCCCTCTTGCCCCTTTCTCGAAAAACACTGGTTGCTTTTGTTTCTCATCTGCGGTGTAGGGGCGTGAGGTGATTCAATTGGTGCGCGCACTGACATCCGAGGTGGAAAATTTAATTCTTGCGGTGGCCCGATCCCGCACCCTGCACACCATTTGGTAAGTTCCGATTCCGACGTAGCTGTTGTCAGCCAGCGCAAGGGCGGCATGCGGCAGACGCACAGCAGACCAGCGAGAAAGGTGACCCACTTGACTTCAATGCCTGGCTCTCCTGTGAACATGTGAACGGCAGGTTGGGCAACACGTGCTTTTCAGACGAACAATGGTGTCATCTCGTCGATGCCATCCGGGACGGCGCCCATAGCCTTGTGCGCATTGGGTAAATCATCTTTCCTTATTCCGAACCCTTGCCCTGGCTTCCTTGCTTGAGACAGTGGAGTTGAGGGCCGAGTGTCACGCGGACGATCCAGCGTTTCCCACTCTGCTTTTTGATTCATTTTTTTTTTTTTTTTTGTTCATCATGTGATGACTCCTGCTTCCCACTTAGCTTATCGGGCTGTCAACTTCGCAACGCCGACATTAAATTGTTGTGTCCAGCGCTACGCAACAAGGCAGTGACTGAGCTCGAGTACGTGCAACGACTGGGTGCATTGGTTCAAGCGCGTGCGCGTGTATCCCTGCAAACTAAAGTTTCTGCTTCTGGATGGGTTTTGCAGGCTTCAAGGCAATGAGCTCAGCGAGCCGGGCATGGCAGAGCTTGCTTATAGCATTCCCGGTTCCCGCCTCACCTATCTTGGGTAAGTGCGCGAGGCAGCACAACATTGTATGATGGCAGGCACTCAGACCTGGCCATATGGGCGATCCGCACCGTGGAGGCGATTTGACAACGCGGTGACGCCACGCTAGGTTGGCCAACAATCGGGTGACGCCCCAAGCCGTGCGCACGCTGGTCTTTAATGCGCTGAGGCAAAACAAGTGCACACTCTGGTTTGTGACGGGAGTTGAACAAATGGACTCAGGAAAAAGCGCGGGGATTTGGTTTGAGTTGCTTTGTTCCTCATTTCTGTGCCTGTTGCTGGTGGGGGCCCTGCATGGGTGGCTGGTAACGATTTTTCTCTTGACCGGGTTGAGCGTAGCCTTGCGGACACGGATTTTGACCAAGCGTGCTTCGATGCCATGATCGATGTGTTGTTGTCGACTCGGAACGCGCAACTCTCGATCGAGTTAGTGATTGGAGACCCGTCTTTTTGCAGCTGCAGAGCAGTGAATATGCGTGTGTGCGTGCGTGTGTGCGATTTACTCTCACGATTGGCTTGTGGACTCAGTTTGCACAACCACAGGCTAACGGACATGGGACGAGTGAACCGGAGTCTATCTCAGCTGACCGCCAGCAATCCCGATTGCCATATCCGCCTCACTTAGCCCATTTAGGGGGTGGGAGACAGGTTGCATCTGCCCCTAGTCTGGGCTAGAAAGGACTGCTGGCAGCCCTTTTTGCCAAGACTGGGTCATGTGACACGGGGTTGGGCCAGGACAACCTTGATGAGATTGAGGCCTTGACCCGACAATTGATGATCCTACAGGCAGCATGGTTGCATTGTCTAGAATCCTGCTGAAAGGAGGGCTCGAAGCCGCTCTTGTGTTGAGTATTTCTTGGTGTTCTAAGGCATGGGTGGAGCTTTGAGATGGTCGCCGACAACTGTTGCTTGATTTTTTTATTTTTTTATTTTTTCTCGGGACCGGCGATCGCCTCTCGCGGCCAGGCATGCACTTGAGCGAAACGGAGGTTACTATAAGGCGGTAATATTTGAAACACCGTGACGCCATCACCTTTGATCGAGATCGATCGCCTTGCTCGAGGAGCAGAGCACTCCTCCCGCTCCCGCGTGCCAACACCGGCCAGCGCAGCCAGCGTTTGTAGTGGGAGACGATCGGCGATTGCAACATCGCCAGGTTGACCGGTCGCTGTATGTCGACACAGCCTGAGCCAAGATACAACACGACCCCAGCGGGTGTATCAATTCGAGTTGTAGCATCTTGTGCGTAGACCAAGGCCAGATCATGCGACATGGTTTGCCCAAGGCAGTCGTCGTCAATCACATACAGCAAAAGGCTCAATACACTACGTTTTGATGCCAAGTGCAGAATCAAACCAGATCAGGGGTTAGATGGGGTTTGGCACTGTGATGCGTTTGAGTGACGACTGTCCAGCATCTGGACATTTACCTATCTGGTGAAAAACGCGCAAAATGCGCTTTTTTTTGAGAGAGAGGAGAGAGAAGCCCACATGTGCAGCTGCGATTCTGGGATTTGTTGTTGTGAGAGAGGAGGGAGAGAGAGTAGAGAGGAGAGACCTTGAGAGAAGAGAATTACGAGAAGCGAAAAGGCAGAAAGAGAGATCGAGAGAGAGAGATCGAGAGAGAGAGATCGAGAGAGAGAGAGAAGTCACAGAGAGAGAGATCAAGAGATCCAGTAGTCAAACGTTCAGTAGGGACGACTAGCAAATTCAAAAAGGGCAAAGTTGATAAGGGGCGGGGGGCGGAGCGGGCGGTGGTTGGCATTTTCGAGACGCTCCGTGAGCCAAGTGAGTACATGTGATTCAGATGGTGCCTGGCTTTGGCTTTGGCACTCCTCTGCTCTTGGGCTGGGCATGTGCACGGTTGTCTGATGAAAGGGCGGGGCTGAGGGACGGTTGGAGATCGAGATCAGGATCGGGATCGCGGCGTCCAGATCAAACTGCGCGTGCTCGGCGGCGGGCTTGCTCATCTTGCCACGGCGTCTTGTGGGCTGGATGTAGAGAAGCAAGATTTTGGACCATTTGGCAGCTGTGTGCGAGTTGCTTCATCGATAATTCACCGGCAGCATGGCGTGCGCCGACTCGGTCGACCAGTTTTATCTGGTCATCATGGGTGCCCTCGTGTTTTTCCTGCAGGCTGGTACGTGCCTTGTTGGACTTGCTGTATCGCTGCCTCGCTTGCCACGCGTCCACCGCGCTTTGGTATCTTGCCCCCTCCGCCTTGAATCATTCCAAACTTCCAAACTGAAACCGTCACAGGCTTTGCCATGCTGGAGGCGGGTACCGTCCATGAGAAGAGTATGTCGATTTGGTCCCACGAGCCCGGCAGCGCTTCGCCATGCCCAACCATCTCTGCTGGCATCACATCACTCACGCGCGCGCGCGCGTTGTCGTCTCACCCTGAAACGCGACAGACACAACCAACATTTTGGTCAAAAACTTTTACGATTTTATCGTCGGAGCCTGGATCTACTTCTTTGTCGGCTTTGCCTTCTCCTATGGCGGTTTTGGCGGCAACGATTTCATTGGCGGCGACGAAGGCGTGGGTTTTGCGCTTCACGACGTGGATATCTGCGAGTATGCCGGCTTTTTCTTCCAATTCACCTTTGCCGCTACTGCCACCACCATTGTGAGTGGTGCCGCTGCCGAGCGCGTCTCCATCACCGCCTACTTTATCTATTCGCTCGTCATTACCGGCTTCATCTACCCCGTGGTGGTGTACTGGACCTGGTCTGGCAACCCGTGGTTGACGATTGGTCGCGATGGCAATGGCTACACGGACTTTGCCGGCTCTGGTGTCGTCCACATGACTGGTGGTGCCTGCGCCCTTGTCTGCGCGGCCATGCTCGGCCCCCGCCTTCGTCGCAAGGGCGCCGACGGCCAGCTCATCGATCTCTATCCTCACTCGGCACCGCTCGTGGCCCTCGGTACCTTCATTCTCATTTTCGGCTTCTTCGCCTTTAATGCTGGCTCCACCCTGGGTATCGTGGATCCCACTGGTGCCACCGGTGCCGTTGCTGGCCTTGCCGCCACCAACACCATCATGGCTGCTGCCGGTGGTGGTCTCATCACTGGCCTCGTGGGCAAGTTCCGCACCGGTCACATCAGCCTCTCCATCACCGCCAACGGCATCATTGCGGGCATGGTTGCCATCTGTGCCGGTGCCGGCTCGGTCATGCCGTGGGCCGCACTCATCATTGGTGTCGTGGCCGGCTTTGTCTACCTTGCCTGGTCCGTGGCCCTCGTGCGCTTTGGCATTGATGACGCCCTCGACGCCGTTCCCGTGCATCTCGGCGCTGGCTGGTGGGGTCTCGCCGCCCAGCCCCTCTTCGCCCATCGCACTGGCATCTTCTATGATGGTAGCGACGCCGATGCCTGGCGCCGCCTGGGCTGGAACCTGGCTGGTTCCATCGTCATCTTTGTCTGGGCCACCGGAACCAGCCTTGTCATGTTCTACGTTATTGACAAGCTCGACATGCTGCGCGTTGACGAAGAGACCGAAATGGCTGGCCTGGACCACAAGGAGCATGGCCATCCCGCCTACGATTACGCCTACACCTTGAAGCATTCGGCTCACCACGATGTTGATGCCAAGCCGACCGAGACTCAGTTTCCTGCCAAGTCCACCGGGGCCTTTGCCACTGACTCGGTTTAATGTCCCTATATCGATATGAATCGTTTTCTCTCATTTGGGAGTCACATGTTTGTTGGGTGCGTGTGTGCCCCGGATGTGCGAGTATCACCGCTTGAGTTGCTCTTTCTTTTAGTCCTCTTCTGTCCCAAGTGTCTCCCCGAGGGATCACCGCGCACATCATGTGATGCGTCGACTGTCTTGCGTATCAATCCAGCATCAAAACAGTTTCTCCTCTTGCAAGTTGCCGCATGCTTTGAATCGAACATGTTGTGTGGGCCGTCACAGCTGCCGGCAGCAGAAGGGGTCGAGAAAGAAAAGGGGGTGGGAGCCATTGGGGCTGAGAGGCCACACACGCACAGGCTGTTTCATGTGGCTACAGCGACACAACGCCACAACGCCACAGCGACACAGCGACACAGACACACGGCGACACAGACACACACAGCGACACACAGACACACACGGAGTGACACAAGCAGATCAAAGAAAAAAGCAAGAACAACAAAAACAAAATGTCAGCATGTTTATGTTTTCATCTTCTTCTTCTTCAGTGGAGCACGATGGCAGGGGATCGAGGCGGGGTGCGGAGGATGGCATCGCGATCGCGATTGCGATCGCGGGCTGGTTTGTGGTTGGTTGTGGTGGCGACAGCGCTGCTGTGTGGAGGGGTGCAGGTGGCACGGGCTGGTGAGGTGGTTACCGTGTTTGAAGTGGATTGGACACGGACAGAGGTCGTTTCCAACACCATCACCACGCTGCAGGTATCGTGCGGAACTGGCCAAGTTTCTTGCCCTCGGCGGCTGGGCAGGCCTTTTGCTCAATCACGCGCGTGGTTGCAGGTGGTCACCAATCCGCTTCTCAACACCAAGACATCACCCGTGGCCTCGGCTTTTTTCCAAAGCCTGGCCGCCCTTGAGGCAGATCTCGTGCGCTATGGTAATCCCAGCCCATGCGACCGCCTTATGTCTGGCCCCACATCTGCCTGATCCAGCACGATCAGCTGACCTCGGCTTGTGTCGTACCAATGGGATGGGTGGGGATTGATGCTGTTGTAGCGGCCTGGTATCCCTACCCCAAGCTGAGCGTGGCGGAGCTCGACCCGCCCAATGCGACCACTCGCACGACCAGCTGGGACTTTACAAACTTGATGGACATGTTCGAGCCTTTCATGAACGCCACCTATGCCCGTGGCAAGCGTGTGCTCGCCACCTTCAGCACAAAACCAACTTGGATGGTTTGTTCCTCGATGCCCTATGCCTCGCGCTCGCTTGCCGACCAGCGGCTTCAGCCTTTCATTCATTCGCTCCCATTCACATCGTCAACTGTTCGTCTCGTGGTAGTATGACACTGATGATTGGTCTTATCCCGAGGATCCCAATACGGTCGATTTTGGCTATGCTCGAGGCAATCCAACGCCCAACACAACCAAGCTTGTGCGTCTCGCTCTCACAGTTTCCCGCGCAAAATCGGTGTCGGTGTCGGTGTCGGTGTTTTTTTTTTTTTTTTCCGGCCATGCCCATTCATCTGGTCCATGTCGCATTCCGCGTGTGCAGCTTGTTGATTACTACGTTCGTCTTGTTTCGTGGCTGATCACGGGTATGGGTACTCGTGCTTGGGTTGTAATTTGCGTACAATATCACATACTGACGAGTGCCCCGCGCTTGCTCAGGTGAAATGATCGATGAGTACGGCAAAGTCATCGGTGGCGGCCCTCGCTACAATTTGACTCACTGGGAGGTATGCCTGGAATGGCACGCTCATCTCCACATGTGGATATCAAGTCGCGCAAAGAGGATGCTCCGTTTCATGCACCACGGCATTGCGCCAACAGGTGTTCAACGAGCCTGAAAACTGTCATGGTTTGACGACCGTCTTTGACTACATTGCTCAGGTCTGAACGTTCCAATGTCGTGCTTGAATCAATCCCTGCGCCAAATGACATCCATGCTCTGTTGCGTGACCCGCATAACGCAGTACTCATCTCTTGCTCTTTCAAACCATCTCGCTAGTACGATGCCATTGTCAATGGGATCCGGGCTAAAGTCGATCCAGAACACCGCATCAAGTTTGTGGGCCTGGCGTTGCAAGACCGCTCCATGGAGTGGATTCAGCCCTTCCTCAACGCCTCCAACCACGCCCCGGACACGCCCATCGACCTCGTGTCCTTTCACTTTTACGCTTCTTCCGCCAATCGCACCGATCCAAACGCCTATCAACAGTTCTTCTCGTATGTTCGGTGGACAACTCTTTTCCTGTAGTTGGCTGGCGTATACGACGATTTCAACGATTTTGGTCATTCGAGGCCTCAAGCGTGTATTTTTGTTTTGTATGCTCTTAGGGACGCCGACGGCTTTTTGCAAGAGGTGGTGCAGATTGCTGCGGCGCGCGACCAACTCAACCCGATGACCGCGCTCAGCTGTAATGAGATGGGGGTCATTCTGCCCAATGACAACGATCCAACCGCTGCCATCCCACCGCAAATATATTTTGTCGCGGCTGGTGCCATGTACGCCTACCTGGTTCCTCACATGACAAAACTGGGTGTCAACGTAAGTGCGTCATCCCGTTGCTGGCACATAATTTGCTCATGGGTTTCTTGAGTAGGCGCTTGATGCATCTTACCCATGTGTTGATTTCGAATTGATCATGCCCTCTCTCGTCCCAGGTCCTGGGAGCAAGTCAGTTGGCAGGCAGTCCGCCCATTCCAGAGTGGGATATCCCTGACCCCCAATACCCCTCAGTCACGCTCGTCAATTGGACGTCTGGTCAAGGTAGCTGGAAATTTATTGGCGTTGGGGTGTTTTGGTAGAGGCGTGTTCCCAAAGCCATATCTAACGCTCCGCATGTCACATGCAACCGGGCAGGCAATCCTCGCTATTGGGTTCTCAAAATGTTTCTGGAAGAGGTGGGGCTCGGCTTTCATTCATTTGACGATCTGGCAATTTGATTTTTGCAGTTCATGTATTACATGCGCGCCGGTGGATACTCCTTGTTTTGCCTACAGTTTGGAGCAGGAGACCAGCTCTTGTACACCTCGCCAATTCAAACCGCCAACACCTCCAACCTTCTTTGTGGGCGCGTACGTCTGTCCCATCTGATGTTTGGAGTAGTGGTTGACTTTATCTTATGTCTGAAGCCCTTTGGCCACCCTGACGGATCCGGTTAGGTGCGAGGTGTCTTGGGATACGGCAACCTGAGCCTCGCTTGTTTGGCCGAGGGTGCTGTGATTGCTGATGTTCAGTTTGCTGCTTTTGGCACCCCAACGGGCTCGTGCGGTAATTATCAACATGGGTGAGTGCATCCTCCCTTTGAAACGTTTGGCCCGATTGCGTACCGCTTTGCGACTGGCTGGCTTCAATCCTCGGCAGTACCATCGCGATGTCTGATAATTTTTTTATGTTGCTCTTCATTGGGTGCGAGGGGCTGGTAGCACCTGTGATGCCTCCAATGTGACGAGCTATGTCCAAAAGGCGTGCGTTGGGCAGCGTGAATGCACAATTGTGTCCGACGCCACCTTTGGGGATCCATGTTATGGGGTAGGTTGACTGCATCAATGACGGTGCAACAGCGCCGGCGAAAAATGCTCGTGCATGTCATCAACCATGTTGGGCCTGTTTGATAGACCTACAAGGATCTGGTCATCCAGGCCACGTGCTCGCAGGGCCCAGGTGTGGCGCGTCCCTCAGACTCTGACAACACCCCAGCCTTTGCGCAAGCATACCTCACGGTAGACGGCACCAAGAAGGTACGAGAGGCCCATTTCTAGTGGCGTGCTGGGTGCCGAGAGTCTCATGCGCGCACGCGCGTGTGTGTGACAGGTGTTGATGGTGAATAAGACCCCTGGTACTGTCTCCGTAGAGCTTGCAGGTATGATGTGCCCCAAAAGTTGTACGAAATGCTCGGGCTGCTCTGTGCACTCATCACAGGCGCTTGTTCACATTCAGCCGAGACCATGACAAGTGTGCGCGTGGTCGATGAGATATCTGGAGATGGCCCGCCTCGCAAGCTGGATGTGTCCGATGAGAATCAGGTGACACTCGGTCCCTATGCCACGGCCGTGGCCATCTTGCAGTAGATCCAAAGGAGGCCGACACGCAGCAACCACTGCTTTGCTTTGCTCTGTGAAAGGTAGATATCCAGACCGGCACAGAATCGAAGGTTCAGGGCTAACCATGATGCAATTGCCAGCGTATGCCGATCGAGCAAGTGGGCACTCTTGCCAAAACGCAGGGAACGATCAAGGCAGCCCGAAGGATGTTCTAAGGTATCAAGATCAGAGGAAGCAAAATTGGGCAAAGCCAAAGTTGCAACTCACTTTGGAGTAACAATCACAAATTAACAACCAAGGAGCAAGGGAGTTGGAAAAAAAGAAAAGGAAAAAAAAAAAAAATCAATAAAAACGCGACAACAGACGAAAACCACCGACAGCAACGAAAGACAGGAAGGGCTTCCGAAGCGTAGCCGGCCAACTTTAGGGCATGGCCAAGAGTTTGAAAGTTTGAGGGAGAGGGGGAGAGAAAAAGAGAAAGCGAGTTACTCGCTCTTGGCGGGCTTGCTGGTCTTGGGCTTGGGCTTGATGATACCCACTTGCTTGAGAACGCCACGGATGATGGTCTGGCCCCACAGGAGCTGAAGGAGGGTAAGCGCGAGGTTGGCGAGGAAGAATGTTACAGCAGCAAAGGTCTAAAGTGTCAAGGGCATGGGCGGCACGTTGCATTAGGCAAAGAAAACGGGCACGGGTCGGTGGCCATGAGAGCACCTGGCATGGGCGAGTGCGGGCGATACCTCAATGTAGGGGTTGCCAAAGGCGCGCCCTGCGGCGATGGAACCGTCACTGTAAGTGGCGAACAGCGCTTGCCAGAATTGGAAGCAAAAAGTCGGCCACATAATAAGGCGAAACACGATGAAGCTCAGGGCAAAGGCAAAGCGCAGGGTCGTGTATTGCGAGGGATAGGCTTTGATGAGCTGGGGAAATTGCTTGAAAATGTCGATTGCCGTGAGCGGGACGTTGGTGCACTCGATCACACCAAAGAAGAAGAAGCAAAAGCCTGTGCCAAAGACGAGAAAAAGGATCATTAGGTTACCAGATAGAGTCAACGCTCGTATGGAGATTGATGGCACTGAGGCAGGAAAACCACAAGGTAGGAAGGCAGTTCGAACCGTGCATGTAGCCAAAGGAGCCGAGTAGGGCAAGGGTACCAGCAAGCACATGGTGAATCAGCATGGGCATGGTGAAAAGGGAGGGATAGATGAACATGACCAGGAGATCATAAAGCTGATACATGATCATCACCTGCGACGGGCGGATGCGTCATTCTTGTGTGAGTGTGCCAATTCTCTTTCGCAATGGCACACAAGGGCGAGCTGTGCGGCTTACCTCAGCCATGTGCTGAGCCCGGGGCAAAAAGCCATACACCTAGGCGAAAACGGAAAAGGGCAATTGTGCATTGTCCAGCCCGACAGTGAGCGTGAGTCATGACCAACAAGCACGACCACGGATTAAGTCAGTCTCGCAGTGTGATATCAGGAAGAAGTATCGGGTGTCCTGGGCCAGAGAACGAGCGAACCTTGTCTTCAACGGTTTCATCCGCAGCAAAGTATTCGCCGATGAAGCCGTGCCAGGAGAGGTAGGCCACGGAGAGCCCTGTGAGGCACGTTGACGCACCGTGATTGGCGGTAAGGGCAGCGAGCAGAGGCTGGGGGGCGCAGAGAAATAAATGCGCATGGGCTGGGGATCAAGCCTGCTTACCAGCAATGACCTCAAAGGCCATAATGCCAGACTTGGCCTTTGTGGCGGGGATGCGATGGAAGACATAGTCGAGGATGAAGTGGCCCACCCAGATGGTGATGGCAGACCACTTGAGGACATCCAAGTCTGGAGCGGTCATCTAGCCGGGGCCGTTGAGCAAAGCAGGTGCGGATGAGCACCGTAACGCGATGATGTGAATCAGTAACGATGTGGCCAAGCAACACAAGCTCAGAGAAGTAGCGAGCTTGGCGCCAGCCGGGGGGGGCTCAAACCGACCTTGACGCTGTTTCGAGTATTCTGGCACGAGATGCAAAGCGCACAAGCAACAAACAAGATGAGGGTGGCCGTTGAACCAGACAAGATGACAGCCTGGAAACTTTCAGCCAGAGCGCATGTTTTGACGCAAATTGGTCGCAGCGGAGCGCATTGTAACTGACCTAGATGGCAAACGCGACGGCAGCGAGCGACGGCAGCGACGGCAGAGCACGAGGGGACAAAATGTGATGTAGCGAGAGATTGGTTGAGCCTTGACCGAATTTTGAGAGAAAGGAGTATAAACCAACGTTTGTTCCAGAGAGACGAACCGGACAGGTGTTCAAAATAGTGAAGCATGCCATACGATTTCAGAGAGGAAGTATGGCATGGACGACCCATTCAGAGACACACTGTCACGATGAATTTGGATCAGAGATGAAACGTGATCACATTCTGGATCTCGCGTGACACGTTGACAGTTGCTTTTGACCAATTGTGAAATAATTGTCAGCAAAAGTGAAAGAGAGAGAGAGAGAGAGAGAGAGAGAGAGAGAGAGAGAGAAAGAGAGAGAAAGAGAGAGAAAGAGAGTTTGAGAGAGAGTTTGAGAGAGAGAGTTTGAGAGAGAGAGAGAGTTTGAGAGAGAGAGAGAGAGAGAGAGAGAGAGAGAGAGAGAGAGAGAGAGAGAGAGAGAGAGAGAGAGAGAGAGAGAGAGAGAGAGAACGTTCACACGCGCGCGCTCGTTTCTGTTGTTTGTCGGAGGGTCCTGTTGGCATCGGATGAGACGGGGAGAGGGAGGGAGATGGGGAGATATGGGTTGAATTACAATGGTCATGGCCACGGACTAAGGGCCGCGTCTTAAGGCGGGAAGAGTGGGGAAGGGCAAGGCAGAGAGCGTACAGATGGCGGTCTGGCCATGACACCAACGGGAAACAAGGTCAAGCAAGACCGCAAATCGACATGGTGTAATCACAGAGGTTGAAAGGGCATAAACAGTCAAGCCTCGCCCCGCAAACAATTAAACAAGAACGCTCGACAAGGTAACAAGCGGATGGCGCTGCAGATTACGGAGATTATCAAGTCCCCAAGCGTTGGAGGGAAGAGCACGCTTAGACCTCGAGGCCCGAGTAAATGTGCGTAGTGCCGAAATCTTCCCGATTCTCCTGTACACTGACGTGAAGCGGGTCCGTTTGCTGCAAATGGTACTGGACGCATGAGTGAGGCAGCGACGCAGCAACAACAACGTCCGGGCGAAAAAACAATTCAGCAAGACAACCAGCACGTGCAGCGGAGAGAGGTCGGGCCAGCTAGCCTTGGGTCGCACCAGTTCTGCATCATATGTGGAGATGTGCTCGCCAAAGGCAAAGGTGACAATGCCCCATTTGCCGAGGAGGAAGCCCCAGATCGCGTTGATCCAGTAGCTCTCGCCCGTCAGCTGGTCCTTGCGCTGGATGGCAAGAGTGAGATAGGTCAGCACCACCAGCAGCGCCACCGTCGTCGCAAAAGCACCTGTGGGTAGACAAACGAGGGGATGACAAAAACGTGGAGGGCCAAGCACGGGGCCAACAAGGCAAGATGAGGAAGAGAATCCGGACCGCGGGTCGGATCAAGGCCACCAGTAGCGCGGGTGGCCCGGGGGCAACTATGATTACGAAAAGCACCCAAACGCACCAACGCTGCGCATGCCGATGGCATGGTTGTTGGGCAGTTTGTTGTCACGAAAGCACTTGCTACGGTAGTGCGCCTCTGTGGACGAACCGAGCCGACAAGTCGAGCGTTGCTGAAGTGAGCGCGCCTGCTGTGCCTTTGACAAGGGAACAAAGTTGCCACGGTTCGAGGGCAGGCACAACAAACCAATGTAGTTGATGAGAGCTACAGCACCCTGCATGAGGGCCAGCACGGCAACCTGGAAAGGCGAGCAGCGTGCAGAATGGAGGCATCAGGGATTGAATGACCCATCCAGGGCTGGGGGGGGGGTGGAGCGAGTGGGGAGTTTGAACACTCAAAGGCGGAGGAGCTCGGACCTGCCAGCGGTGGCCAAACTGGAGAAGAAAGGCGGCCGCGCCGGCAACGCCCACGAGCACGGAAAAGCCGGCAAACAGACGGCGGTAAAAATACGAGGGATAGTCGTGACCGGCCAGCAGCGGCACCCGATCCGAGGGACCCGCCATTGTGCGCGGTTGCGTACTGTCTGGTTCCTACGACCAAATGTCAGCCAATGAGATGGGGGGAGTGCCTTTGCAACACGAACCCAGCTGCACCGATGCGCCGTCGGAGCTTCGCCCCAACACCGACCATGCCTGCACGACCAGCCCTTCCTCCAGAAGGCGACTGGACACGGTCCCAGCTTTCACAGATGCACACACCCGACAGTCAAGCGCACTGGCTGACCATCCAACCCTCTGCCGCACCGCTGACCAACCTTAAACTTGGCAGCTCTCCCCCTCTTGTCAAAAGAAGGAGTAGTCAAAGTCAATCAGCGACGTGTGCCCAAGTCCCGCAACAGCAGCGATGCCGTCAGCCCGCTGCGATCAAATCCTGCCGAGCTCAACTCGAAGCGCGCGCACACACACACACAGCAGCTCCAGAAAAAAAAAAAGAAAATTCACACAAATGGTTTGCTTAAGACTCGACATGTGCGCACACTTGCAGGATGTTGCCACCACACGTGCAAACAGGGTTTGGTATACGCAGGTGCGTGGGTTGAATGGTATCGTTGTAGTAGCAGCCACACATGTGTGCAGGCTGTGTCATACTCGCGGTATTGCATCCCCACACCCTTGAACACGAACTCACTCATTGCAAGTCTTTACCAGTCAGATTTGATGCAAGCTCACGCCTGCTGACAATTCCCGGTTGTTTACTGGCATCTGGTAGCAGCAGCCGTCGAAATGTCAGCATGATCAAGAACCACTGACACTTGGTAGCACGGTCGTCTCCAACAACAACATCAACAAAAAGAATGTCTCCCTTGGCAGAGCGCTTTCCAATGAGTTTTTGTTACTTCAGTTACACTTTATGCAGATATGTTAAGCAAATTGGTTTGACTTTATGAAGAAAGTTGGGCAGATATCGCAGTTTACTGAATCTGCTGGTGTGTGTGTGTGTGTGTGCGGGTAACGCCTCCACGTTCCGTGTGTGTGTGTGTGTGAAAGGGCAGTCGGGGTTCAGTGGACAGCCAGGCAGTGGGACTGGTGGCAGTGGCAGTGGCAGTGGTGGTGTGTGTGCTTGGCTCGTGCTGGGTTCAGTTAACGAGAGAGCTAGACAGGGGTGGGCAGTCTTGGAGAATACAGGAGAGCAAGGGCGGAACGGGGGGCGGAAGTCGTGATACGGCAGAAATCATGGCGAGGCACCCGAGCTTGTGGCTGCCCGCCCCCCGCCCTCCGCCTGTGTTATCTTGTGCCGTGTCTGGTGCTGTCTCTTGGTATGCTCTGCTCATGAAGGCGCAAGTCTCACTTTTGGTGTGTGTCGTGTGTCTGTCGCAGCAGCTCTAGGTCCAAAGAGTGCGATCTTTGTTTTAGGCCAGGCCTCAGCGAGTGTTTTTTTTTCTTGATCTTTGGTGCCACCGCAAGCCTCAAAGTTGCAACCTCCCACAAGCCTTGTGTCCCAATACTCACCGGATTCAATGGCGGAAAGCAAGGTGTTGGCGGCCAGCACGGACGTACGGTGCCTCGTTCCTCGACCCCCGTTGAGCTCTTTGAGCCTGCGCGTACTGGCCAACCTGCCTGCAGACTGACTGAAAGTGGCCGCGTCAATCCGATAGGTGGCCGTGTTGGACGATGAACAGGATGACGAGCTGGACGAGTCAATCGGTATCGAGGCCAAAGCGGGGGCCTTGGATCTGGCCGAGGACGAGCCGGTTGGCGAGAGCCTGCGCTGGGCTGCCGATAACGATTACGAGCGCCGTAGCCACCTCTCGGTCAAGCACGACCATGCACTGCAGAGCAACTCCCTCTGGGGGGTTTTGAAGAAGAACATTGGCAAGAAACTCTCCCACATTGCCATGCCCGTCACCTTCAACGAGCCCCTCAGCGCTCTGCAGCGCCTCTGCGAAGAGCTTGAGCACAGCCACCTCCTCGACAATGCTGCGGCTGCTGCCGATCCTCGCGAGCGCCTCATGTGGGTGGGCGCTTTTGCCGTTGCCTCGTACGGCAGCTCTCATTTTCGCTCCGGGCGTAAACCTTTCAATCCCATTCTTGGCGAGACTTTTGACGAAGTCCGGCCCGAGCGCGGCTTTCGCTTTTTTGCGGAGCAAGTTAGCCATCACCCGCCCATTAGCGTGTGCGTGGCCGAATCCTCCCTCTGGACCTTTTATCAAGAGGCGGGTGTCAAGTCCTCTCTCCGTCCCTCCAGCCTCAAGGTTACTCCCCAGGGCTTTATTCGTGTCTCTTTTCCCGCGTACGATGAGGTGCGTCGCTGACGGCCCCGATCCGCTCCCGACTTCCGAGATTGATGAACCCCATCCCCTGAGCACATATCCATGAATGGGATTTCCTTGCCAGCCACGCACTTTGCTTTGCTATTTTACTCACCCACCCATCATGCCCGGTGTTCAGACCTACGAGTGGCAAAAAGTGGTGACACACGTGGAAGACATTGTTTCCGGTATGTTGTTGCTTTGCAGATGCAGGGCTCCTCGACTCGAGCTGGGTGGCTGGTCTGGCTGGGCTGCCTCACCAGGCTGCCCTCTCCATCCCCCCCCCCCCCCCCCCCATGTCTGGTATGGCCTGTGGCCTCATCCTTCCCCTGCGCTTGGTTGTCCTGGTCTGCTTTCAAGGCAACAAGTGGGTCGACCACCACGGCCGGATGTGTGTCGTCAACTGTCGCACGGGTGATACGTGCAAGGTCGAGCTCTTCCAGTACTCGCGCTTCAAGAAGAGTCAAAAGTATGCCGTCAAGGGCACGGTCATTGACGTGGCTAACCCTAAAAAGCCGTTTGCCACCTTTTCCGGCAAATGGAACGAAAAGGTGGGTCATCATGGTGGCTGCGGTGGTCAGGTCCCCGTCGCTTGGTTGGTGCGCTTGGTTTTTATCTTACGCTTCTTCTTTGCGGACCATGGTCCCTTGGCGCTGAAATGAATTTTCGTGCAGCTGGTGCGCGATGACACCCAGGAGGAGTTGTGGACCAATCCCGTGCCTGAACAAGGTATTCTCATGTATTTTCAAAGCCTGCCCAACAATTCCCACGCCTCTGCTCAACCGCCCACCCAACTTGGCACGCATCGACAGAATCCATTGATCACGAGTTTGGCTTTACAAAGTTTGCCATGGAGCTGAATGAACTGCCGCCCGAGGGCAATGGACAACGCGATTTGCTGCTGGCCACCGACTCGCGCAATCGCCCGGATCAGCGCCTTTGGGAAGAGGCCAAGGAAGAGGCTGCCGCCGAAGGTACGAGTCCTCATCTGCTGCCTTTGTCTCGCCGCGTCTAGTGCATGTGCATGTGCATGTCTGGTTGGGCTCGCATCTTTCACTTCCTTCTCATGTATGCGCTCCATCCAAACTTGTACGAGCAGAGAAACTGCGCGTGGAAGAGCTGCAGCGGGTGCGGCGACAGGAGCTCGAGGCGGAGGGCAAACAACACGAGCCTCGTTTCTTCGAGTATCGTCGTGTCCCCGCCCCCAAGCCGGCGCAGCTCCCCTCGGGTGTTCCCGCACTCTCTCGCGAGGCTGAGCGCGCCGAGTGGCTGTACAAGGGTGGTTTTTGGCGTCAGAAGAAGGAGCAGTCGATCAAGAGCCTGCCCCCCTTGTGGTGAAGTCCCGTCACTTAAGGGCTTGCCGCAAGGGTCAGCATTGAGGCAGCTACTTGCATTTGGGGTTTAGCTTCGGATTTGCTTCTTGTTTGCTTTGGTCTTTGAGCTGTGTCTGCCCCGCGACACCAGCCGTCACCCGTCTCGCTCGCATTCTCCTCCCTTTGAGTTTTGGCTCGCGTCTGTGGTTGGGGGAAGATGGATTGGCTGTGGTCATTTGTTGAATGGGCCCGTGTTTCCTCTTTCTTGTACTATGCACTGGTCAACCATTGGATCCGAGTACGATGGATCAAGCCCTGTGCCACGGTTTCAGCGAGACCACCAGTTTCTTTTGATGATGTGCTATGCCATCGCTTGACTGACCTTTACACACCTCTTCGTGCCCCCTCTTTCCTGTTTGTTTTGTCCGACAAAAGCGTGCACTCTAGGCGGTCTCAAGCCTCTGCTCACACTCTTGTCATAATATGCTAGAATCACACCAAAATCGATGCTCTTCTTTGACACGTTGGGCACAAAGCCGAGGCAAGGCCTTGAGCTTGCCAGTCTAGTGTAGAAAAGCTTACTCATCAGAGTCATAATTACAGTGCTAGATTGTTGAGCTGCCGCAACTCAAACGTGCGCCAACGGATATTTTTGTCGACTCATGAACAAAGGCACGCGAGGTAAATACCACTTGGTGGCGTGGGGGCGTGAGGGAGAAGATCCACCCATGAAGAAGCCACGGTGTGTGCGCTTTGCGCGTGCGTGGAAGGGTCGGGGTGTCATTCCAGCTGGGGGTGAGATACTCGCACGGTTCGGGCAATACCGCCTGTCCTCGTCTCCAGGTGGTGGATTTCCATCATAACAGAATACAGCCTTTCTTCTTGGGTGCGGGGGTGGGGGCATCGGAGCTTTCGGCTTCGTGTGGGCGACGAGATGTGGGAATGGGCGGCGGCGCATTGGGGCTACCGGCGGCAGGCACAGGGCTGGAGGAGCTACCTTGCATGAGCTGTGAAGCACGACGTGAGTTGTTGGGGTTGATACGAAGATTGCCAAAGTCGGGGGCGGGGCCACCCGTTTCCGGCGGAGGGATGGAGATGCCCTCGGGCTCGGGCAAGGGGCAAGGGGCTGGCGAAGGCACGGCAAAGCTGAGAGGTCCACCAGGAAAACCTCCATCTTCCTTCTGCATCACGGGTGCGCGGTACCGCCGAAAAGATTGGCGACACGGTCAGACGTGAGACGGGGGTGTTATTTGAATCGAGGGGTTTTTTTTTAAACTCGAGGTCGTTTTTACTCTCAAAGTTGAGAGACAAAAGAAGTCATGGTGCCAGAAGTCATGGTGACGGACGAGCGGCGACGAACGAACGTGAAAGTGGTCCAAAAGCTCTTGGATCTCGGAAAAGTAGCTGGTACGCCCTTCCACCTGTGCGTCCAGAACGTACATCTTGTCGCTGTGGGACAGCAAAGGAGGGGGTTGACAAATCACAGCACGCACACCAAACCGCACCCGGGGTGGCTGGGCGGAGCACGCACCTGCCCGCGCCCATCATTTTGACCACAAAGTGAGTTGCACTCTGGGTTTTGACATTCATCCAGGAAAGGACCAGGTCCTATGTCCAGGGTCAAGCAAAGGGGAGGCTGTTAGGTTTGTGAGGCACCAAAGGCAAAGGGGGCGGGCGAAAAGGGGCGGACCCTACCCGATCGGAATCGGATTTTTCGCGGACGAGGTAGACGACATCATCATAGTCACGACCCGCACAGACAGCCTTGAGGCGGCTCTCGACCTCGTCCCGGCTCAGCTTGCCATGGAACCAGGGGAAGATGCGACCAGACATGGTGCTCGTGGACGGCACGACTGTACGCCCACCAACGCGAAGGTCAGGAGGCTAAACAACAAGCCTGCTGGATAATAATAAAAACGTGTGTGCACGCGCACTCAAAACCTTGCCGGCTGGGTGCCGCCGCCCCGCCTTGGCCAGGCTACTCCCATCCAATACCAAGCCACCTTCCTCTCGCCACGCAGGCAGGTACAGCAACGCCTCCCTCTGCACAACCACCACAACGCCTGCGACCAAAAAAAAAAGCAGAAAAAAGTTCAGAGAGAGAAGAGAGGAGAGAGGTTTGAGAGAGGTTTGAGAGGTTTTTCGAGAGAGAGAGAAAAGGTCTTTCCTTCTTCTCTTTGTTCCAACAAAGCACCCAGCAGCTTCCATCTCAGCTCGACAAGAAGAATGTCATAGAACGACAAACTACCCTGCGCTCAATAAGATCGGAGCTGCAAAGGACAAGTGGAAGAGGGTGGAAGGTCACATGTGCGTGAGCAAAGTGGCAGGCGCTTTCAAGGCCGGTGAACCATCGCGTTCAGCTCAGACGTGATTGAAGGAGAGCGAGGAAACAAGGGAGTGTCTGAGGTTTTTTGATGGCTCGATTTTGGGGATTTGCTGCTCGATAAAGCACTTCAAAACCTCGCGCGTTTTGGCTAAGGGGGTCGTCGCGAAAATAAACAGCAAAGAAAAAGGGAGCAAATTTACGCGGCGGCCTTGGCCTTGTCCTTGAGGCGGCGATCGCGCTCCTCGGCAATGGTGAGACGGACACCCTTGCCGCGGGGAAGCGAGATGGCAGGCTTCTTGCCAGAGCCGACAGCAAAGACGTTGCTGAGCAGAGTGGTGAACTGCTGACCAGCGGAGTCACGGACGTGGACGACGTCGGTGGCACCCATCATCTTGTCACGCGACATGAGCGTACCAACACGGCCCATGTTACGGCCGCCAGTGCAAAGCACAAGGACGCCAATGTCGAACTTGATGAAATCGGTGATGCGACCGCTGTCGAGGTCAACCTTGACGGTGTCGTTGACCTTGATGTGAGGGTCAGGGTAGCGGATGGTGCGGCCATCGTGGGTCACAACGTAGGGGACGGCGTTGGGGCCAATGGCAGCCTGCTTGACCTTGCACAGCTTGAACTACAGAAGCCGAACAACACAGATGCGCGCCAGATTGTCAGGATCAACACACATGACCAGCAGCTAAAGGACAAGCATTGCGCGCCACGAGAGCAGCGTTTTTTTTGGGCGTATTGAAAAGAATCAACGTACCGAGGCCTCGTCATCCTGGATCTTGTGGACGGTGTAGCGACCCTTAGTGTCGAACAGGAGACGGAAGTGCTCGTTGGTGTCGGGGATGGAGATGACATCCATCAGACCGGTGGGGAAGGTAAGGTCGGTGCGAGCCTTGCCATCAACGTACACCTAAATCAAGCATCACCAACCAGCAGGCAACAAAGTAACGTGAGCATGGACGAGTCCTGGGGCGTGGATAAGAAAAGCAAGCACAATTCATCGACGTGTGTTCACGCTACAACACATTTCTAGCGCAATAGCATGGTACAGGGCTCGACGTCCCAAAGCCCGGAAAATTTCGGGCCACCAACTCGTCATCATACCTTGCGCTGCTTCAGGATCATCTTGACCTCGTGGTACGTCAGGGCGTATTTGAGGCGGTTGCGGAGGAAGATGACCAGAGGAAGGCACTCACGGAGCTTGTGAGGACCAGTCGACGGGCGGGGAGCATAGCGACCGGTCAGCTTGTCCTAAAAGATCCCAAACCACACCGCCACCAGCCGCATCGACATGGTTGAAGGGACCACGAGCCCGAGAGCGCACCAAGAGAAGACATGAGTGCAATGACGGCCATGGCAACCTGTGGGGAGGGCAGCAGGCACCGGAAGAGACGTAGCAGATGGCCTCGCCAGTCCAAGACCACACATGTGTCGCGCGAATCTGGACTGGCGCACACACATCTGCTGCACCGCCATCAGGTAGCCGAACTAGCAAGGAGACAGGGTTTTACGCACAAGCATCCAGTGCTTGGGGGCGGCCAGGCGCTTCAAGTGCTTCTTCGGTCCACGAGCCATGATGACCTGTCACAGATATGAGGCAGAGAGATAAGTGTCAATCCTCACCCAAGAGCTTCCTGGCAGGGCTGCCGCCGAAGCGCTGCCAAAGCCGTCGACTTTTTTTTTTTCTCACTCTTCCTTTCTGTCCAAGCAGCAGGTGGTGTTCGGTACCTTTGAGAGGCAAAAAAAAGTGCCAGAAGGTTCAAACCTCGCTTCACGTTGATGCGAAATACTGATCGAAAACACCTGTTGCACACAAGCGTGCACACCGCGTGCACAAATTGTCAGACATTTCTCTGATCGATTAGTTTATTGTCACTCACTTCGCATTTGCGATTTGTCCGTTTCTTCTTCTTCAAGAAGTCACTCTTTACGCGCGCGCAGTGGTTTGCACCCGCTTGGATGGGATGGGTATGAGATGGCACACAATTGTTTCAACGCAAGCCTCAATTCTATCCCTTTGCCGGGAACGAACGCGTGCGGGGGAGGGAAAAGGGAGCGGGGAAGGGCACCGGATGTTGCAAGCAAACAATCGCGGGGGACTCCACTCAAATGTAAACCTACTGCACAACTACACCAAAATGAGGGACGCCCAAGCAGCTGACACGACACTATTCTGTCTAGCGAGTCTAGGAATGGCTGACAAACACAAAGCGGAAGCACGAGCCAGCTTTTCCGAGGGCAATCAGACACACACGCATACACAAGGCCTCGTAGAATAATGGGATCTGGAAGAGATCAATGTTCCCCCAGTTTCCAACCACATTCTCGTTTCTACTGGTCATCCAGGGCCGGTGCACGGTCGGTGGCCTTCACGGTACCAACGTCCAACTCAGCGCCCTCCTGGGCCTGGCTTATGAGTCCCAGGACATGAATGAGCTGCTGCCGATCCAGCTTGCCCCGACGCTCCTCATCCACCATCATCCAGATGGATCCCAGCATGGAAATCTCCAGGCCCGAGCGTAAGAGGATGGGCCGCACGTCGTTGCCACCCACACAATCTTCCTCGTCCACAGCATCGGCCAACTCTGAAAAAATGGCCTCGGCCACCTCGGACAGAGTGGCGTGTTCTGGATAAACAACAAGCAATCATGCCAGATCCACAAAGAGAGGTGCCATCAGCGTCACATCACAAACAAACAAAAAACATTCAGGTGTGCCCCAAGGGGGAAGTGGGTACAAGTGGCGGAAGTTTGTTCAGCCGTGGACGTACCAGTAGGGGCATCGGTGCTCACGCCAGCAGTACGTGGGTCGAAATCATCACCAAACCCGCTGCTGCCAAAGCCGCCGGGTGCCGCCCCACCCGATGCTGGCATCTAAGAGAGGAGAAGCGCGAAGGTCAGACCATTGATATGGACATAGCAAGTGATTGACAGCGAATCGATCGCCAGCAAGGCAGAGAACGCACATCACCCGGCACAAAGTCCTCGTCGTCGTCATCATCATCGTCATCGTCGGCACCGGCGGGCAGACCGCGAGGCATAGCAGGTTCGTGTTCAGCTTCATCTAGAGCCACGTTGACGTCATCCAGCGCTACAAGTTCGCCGTTCTCATCCACGTCAAAGCCACCCTGATTCATAAACATTTCAAACGCTTCTTGATCGTTCG